CGTGGCTTGGTGGGCGTGGCAGGGGAAGGATACTGTAAAATTTCCAGTCAGAGGTTGTATTTGCTGGTTCTCCAAACTACTCATAATTTCCATTACCGGTTCTCCAGAACTGGTCAGAACCTGCTAAATACCACCTCTGTTCCAGGGAGGAGAGAAAGGTAGCATTTAGCGACAAAAGGCTACTGTAAGTGTTAAGTTTGAGCAATGAGAGGCTGAACCAGAGCATGAGTGCAACAATACTTTATTATAACAATAAAGGGCTGACCGTGCTTGCCACGCCTGGAAATGGCTCGCAGCAATCAGCGACTGGTTGGACCCCGCAGCCTGCTTTTATAGCTGGCTGCTGGGGGGAATCAACCAATGAGGAAAAGGGTAATAACGCCCACACAAAGTGAGTGGACCTGAGTGAGAACTCCTAGAGTCCTCAGGACATAACACCCCTTCCCCCCAGATGCGAACATGCATAGTCCTTGAGGTAGACGGGGGGTTTGTGTTGGCGCCCGGAACGGCGCAGCTCGGGAGCATTGTCTGTCTGTTCAGAACCAGTCTGTGACGGTTGAGCCGGCAGTGTGTCGCCAACGCGCTCACCGGATTGGGCATCCTCGGAACTCACAGGGTTGGATACTGGGGGCGAGTTCCCGTGGGCTGGATCAGGCTGGTCAACTCTCGGGGCGCTGTTGTCCGAGTTCGGGCTGACCGGAACGGCTGTTGGTGCGGACTGGACGTTGGGTGCGATGAGGCTGAGAGGCGGATGAGGCGGTTCCCCTTCGTCTGGTGATTCTGGATTTCTGCTGGCAAGGGTGCTGTGGCGCCTCCGCAGTTGGTCTATGTGCCTCCTCCAGACGCGACCATCCTCCAGCCTGACCCTATACGATCTTGGCCCGGTGATGGCGATGACCACGCCTGGTATCCATAGTGGGTCCCCGGCGAAATTCCTCGCGAATACAGGCTCCTGTAACATAAAATGTCTAACCCCCGAAGTGGAAGCAAGGGGAGAGTCAGGGCAGTAATGTGGGTGAAGTCTGTCCAATACAGTCCTCAGGCGCCGGCCCATCAGGAGCTCCGCTGGGGACTTATTGGTGACTGAACAGGGGGTTGAGTGCTGGCTCATCAGGAACCGTGAGAGTTTGTGGTGCCAGTCATCCCTGCTGAACCTGGCGAGGGCTTCTTTGGTGGTCCTGACGGCTCTTTCCGCCAAACCATTACTGGCAGGGTGAAAAGGGGCTGTGAAAATGTGGCGGATGCCCAGGTTGGCAGCAAAACGGCTGAACTCTATAGATGCGAACTGTGGGCCATTATCGGAGACGATGGAGTCGGGTAGCCCATGCGTAACGAACAGGCGCGTTAACACATTGGTGATTGCTAGTGTGGTGGTCGTGGATAGCTGTGCTACATCAATCCATTTGGAATAAGCATCCACGACCACTAGGAACATCTTCCCATGCAAGGGGCCGGCCAGATCGATATGGATTCTAGACCAAGGGCCGCTGGCACTCTCCCATCTGGTAGGGGTGGCAATGGGGGGAGCAGGACGGGATTCCTGACAGATGTTGCAGGAACTTACCCAATTGACAATGTCCTCGTCTAGACCCAGCCACCACACGTAGCTGCGTGCTAATGCTTTCATTCTCACGATGCCAGGGTGTCCTTCATGCAACGCCTCCAGGACTCGGGTACGCAGCGAGGTCGGAATGACCACTCGAGTGCCCCATAGTAGACAACCCTGCAAACTTGACAGCTCCTGCATGCGAGTTTTAAATGGAGTTAATTTGTTATCAACGATGCCACCTGGCCACCCCCTCCTCACCCAGTCGAGCACCTGGGCGAGCGTTTGGTCTGCCTTGGTTTTGGCGGCGATGTCATGGGCGGTGATGGGCAGGTCCAACTGGGTGATCTCGAAAATGGCGTTGACAGGAGCGGGGTCTTCAGCCGGAGCGGGTAAGGGGCAGCGACTGAGAGCGTCGGCATGGGACAGTGTTTTGCCTGGGCGGTGAATAAGTTTGTAGGAGTAGGCCGCTAGGAAGAGTGTCCACCTTGTCATTCTAGGGGAAAGGACCTGAGGGGTCTGTTTGTCCCCAGCCAGTAGGCCCAGGAGGGGCTTATGGTCCGTAACCAGTTCGAAAGAATGGCCAAAAAGGAATTCGTGAAACTTTTTCACGGCCGCAACAGCTGCTAGGGCTTCCTTGTCGATCTGGCTGTAATTGCGTTCCGTGGCCGAGAGCGTCCTTGAGAAAAAGGCGATGGGAGCCTCAGCGCCATTGGGAAGTCTGTGACTAAGGACCGCCCCAATTCCAAAAGGGGATGCGTCTGCTGCCAGTACTAAAGGAAGGTTAGGGTCGAATTGGATAAGCACCGCCTCTGACGTGAGTAGTGATTTGACGGCGTTAAACGCCTGGTCTTCTTTGTGCCCCCAGTGCCATGGTGACTGTTTGTCCAATAATCTGTGAAGGGGTTCGGCTACTGAGGCTTTGTGGGGCAAGAAGGATGCGTAAAAGTTCAGCAGCCCCAAGAAGGCTTGCAGCTCTGTTTTGGAGGTTGGAGTGGGAGCCTCGTGGATTGCCCTGACCTTGGACTCCAGGGGGTGAATGCCAGAGGCGTCAATTTTATAACCCAGAAAGTCCACCTGTCTAGTGGCAATGGCGCATTTTTCTTTTTTTAACTTGAGGCCATGCTGTCTGAACCTCTCTAACACTGCTCGCACTCTCTGGAAAAGTTGGGGTCTGTCCCTGGCCGAGACCAAGATGTCGTCGAAGTAGGGTACTACACCAGGGAGGCCCTGTAAAATCCGTTCCATGAGGGACTGAAAAATCCCTGGGGCAACACTTACGCCAAATTGGAGACACTTGCATCGGAAGGCACCCCTGTGAGTGACGATGGTCTGGAGTTCCGCTGTTTGGTTATCAACAGGGAACTGCTGATACGCTTGAGACATGTCCAATTTAGCGAAAATACTGCCCGGCTCGAATGTGTGCAATAAGTGCTGAATGACGGGCACAGGGTAGGCGCTAACTTGTAAATATTTATTGATTGTTGTCTTGTAGTCCGAGCAAATTCTCAGGCTACCATCTTTTTTGAGGGGTGTGACGATGGGCGTCTCCCACTTGGCGAAATCTGTTGGCTCAATGACCCCTTGTTTTAATAGTTTATCTAATTCAGCGTCTAGTTTTGGTCGAATAGCAAATGGAACTCTACGCGGTTTTAGTCTGATTGGGACTGCCTGGGGGTCAACTGTGAATGAGATGGGGGTTCCGTTATAACACCCCAGCTCTTCGCTGAACACATCTGCGAAATCAGCGAATAAGGAGTCAGTGTCTAAGGTTGAGACAGCATGGACTCCTGTTAGCCCTAGGCCGAGGTGGGGAAACCAATCGAGCCCCAATAAGGTGGGTAAATTGCCGTTAACTACCACTAGAGGTAGGTGACCTTTAAAAGTTCTAAAACTGACAAAAAACTTGCCTCTGCCGATCACAGGAATGGTCTTCCCCTGGTAGTCCTTCAGGCCGAACTCGCATCTTTGAAGCCGAGTGGTAGATAGGCTGGGGTGGAGCCTCTTGAGGGTGTTCCACGAAATTATTGAGAGCGCTGACCCTGTGTCAACCTCCATGTGGCACGGTTTACCTTCTAGGGAAACGGAGAGAGAAATTTTACTAACAGTGTGGCAAGTACGCTTGGCAAGGCGGTGCGTGCGACAGTTTAATACTTGCCTCTGAGGTCCCGAGTGCGAGGGAGGGAGTCTGTGTGCAGCGCTTTGGGGGGTTTGGCAGACTCTCGCGATGTGCCCCCTTTTATGGCAGTTGTTACAGGTGGCTCCTTTAAACTTGCAGGTGGCCCTTTGATGCGATCCCCCACAGGCTAGGCACAGTGTGATGTGCTTGGGTGGACCGGTGTTTTCTTGTTTGGCCCCTACCTGCGGCCGTTTGTCGTAGGCGAGGCGGTGGACATCGTTTTCGTCGTTGAGGTTTTCCTCTGCTACCACCTCCTCGGAATGGACTGGGAACGATGCCAGCTTGGCGCTTGGGCCCTGTATTTCGGTGGCTGAGTTCGTTGCCAGCTCGGCTGCCAGGGCCTCCTCGACTGCTTGTGCGAGGTTGAGGTCTTTTTTTGCTAGAAGGCGCCTCTGTAGGTTGAGGTCCTTGACCCCACAAACTAATTGATCGAGGA